GTTTGTCTATGGAGTATCCACGTCCTTCTTCTAAAGTCTCTGGCAGAGATCAATAATAGAAGATCTTGGTTCTTACAACGTACTTTTACTTTTATGAATATTTGTGATTCATCATAAGCAGTGTGTGTGTGTGTGTGTGTGTGACATGTCATATGGTGATACCTTGCCACATGTAGCATATGTCATTGCTAACCTTCGTCTATAAGATGCCCATGATACAGGCATATATGGGCATCCAGAATCACAGGGTATTGGAGTCAGCAGGACCTTTGAAAGAATCTAGTTTAATCTTGCACATGTGTACAGTATTGCTGACAGTTGATGGTAAGAGAACTTATAAAGGAGTTCAATTTTCCCACAACTTTTTTGATCTTGGGGTTTTCTTTATATCAAGCTAAAATGTTACTTCCTTTAATTTCTGTACATTGATTCTAGTTGGCTCACTGAGAAAGGTGTACTCTGACATATGCAACCCTGTCAGTATTTGAAGATTGTTTTTCTGTCAATCCTATGTCACTCTCCTATATGGTAAGTAGACGTAGTTCTGTCAGCTGCTCCTTAGGTGACATGATTTGCAAGCCTCTCGCTACTACAGCTCTCGCTCTGCCTGGACTGACTCCAGGGGATGGCTCAGATCTGTGTGACCGAAAGTTTCCCCTTTCATCTGAATGTATGTCATGGCTAGATACTTTTGGAAAATCTCGAGTCTTTCTTGAGGGAAAATACGGTCCTAATCCACCTGTTGGAAATATTATTAACTTAGATTTTTTGGGTAAGAAGGAATATTGTCATCTGTAATAAATATGTATTACTTTTATAATCAGAAAATATTACACAATTTTAATAAAACCAATGCCTCTCTTTTTATTCACTATAGTGGGTAGAGTTTGGATGTAGTGAATGGAATTAAAAATAATGTTCCCCGTCTCCCTCCCTCCTTCATTTTCATTCTTCCTTCAATCCATTCACCAATCTTTGCATGCCTACTGTGTGTGAAGAACCTGTGGCACTGTGCGCACGGCGATGAATAGCAGAGGCATTAATCAACAGGTAGAATTATCCTGGCATTGGGAAGGATGTAATAGAACCATGTTTAATTCTCTGTGGTGATGCTTATCAACTGTAGGGTCCTCAGCAGGACTTCAGTGTGTTCTTGCCTTTAAGTTTCTGAAACAGGAATGATCCTTGGTGTAGCGTCCTCAGAGGATGTTGTAAAACTTAAAATCACAGGTTAGAACCCAGTAGGTAGGATTTCTGTAAAGATAATGACTATTATTGTTGGGCTGACATTGTTATTGATGAATAATACTTTTGGGGGGAGGGAGACTGATGGATCAACCATGCTAATTTCCCTTTCTTTTTCATTTATTTCTTCCTTTTATGCAGTTCTTTCAACATTTTGTTATAAAAATTTTCAAACATACAGAAATGTTTTAGGAATATTACAGTGAGCACTCACATATCACCACCTAGTTGTTGCCATTTACATTTTACTTCACGTATATATCCACCTCTCTGTCATTACCCATTGTTAATGAGCTTGTATTCACAGAAAAAGATGGATGGCAGCTATTTTTCCTGGGAAATGGAGCTCTTCCCACCATGGTTTTATCCCTCTTCCCAACAACGGTTGTGATGATAGGATAGTATACAGCACAAAATACTATACTTAGCTCTTTTATTCTTCATAATGATGCTAGGAGGCAATATGTGTATAAAATCATCTCTATTTTATAGAATAAAAAATGAGTCAGAGAGATGAAATGACCTAATATCACACAACTGGTGAGGGACAAAGTCAGAAATATGGCAATCACTCTGGTTAGAATAGGTTTAAAATATTTTTTAATCTGTAAAATTAATGGAAAAAAGAGTTGAGATACCATTTATGAACATGAAAAACCCTGTGTTGCTGGGCGTCTGTGTCTGCAGAGATGTCTTCCTGTGTACTGGGTGAAACCTCAACCTGGACTGGGGGTGGCTTTTGACTGTGACCAGGAACGAATTCTCCAACAGGTCGGTTGAGTGCAGGTAAGGAATTCATTAAAACGAGAGTGGCAGTGAATGGCAGCCGCGTGCAGGCAGCAGAGAGCAAGGAAGCAGGAAGAAAAGAGGTCATTGAACTTTCTCGGCATAGGGCAAATCCCTTGTCAACTCCTGAAGCCAGGTCACCTGGTGTCCGGTGCTGGGATCTGTGTGGTCTGGGAACTAGGCCTCTACTGCCCCAGGATTTGGGGGAGCCATAGAGCACTTGATGGAGTGGGGTGATGTTCTGAGACCCCCCCCTCCCCCAAAGCAAAGAAAGGAGCTTTTCAGGCAGGTTCTGAAGAGCAGGATCTTACCGCTGCGGTCTCATTCAGGTCACCCAGGTGACAGGACCTTGCAAGTCCGATTCAGAGATCTCAGTAGCCCCTCCCTACTTGTCTGAAGTAGGACAGAGAAAGTGAAGACTAGTGCTTAAATCTAGAAAATTGAATGAAATAAATGAAGTAGCAAAGATGCTTACCAGTGGGAAAAGGGATCTCTTACTAATCTCCCAAGAGGCTTGGAAGAGCCGGGAGACAAAATGCAATAATTTGAGCAGTGAGAAGCCTTTATTTACGGCAAAGTACACACTGGAAGGATGGGGACTGCAGACAGCCTCAAAGAGGAGGTGCACTTTAAAGGCTTAGGATCCTTTTAAGTATTTCAAGAATGGGGTACAGGGCCAAGGAAACTAGACTTGACTTGTGGTCTCAAGTCTCTGTCCTGTGAAAGACATTATGTCATCATCCATAGTTAATCCTCTAGATATTCTGTAAGATAAACTAAACACAAGGAATTTCTTGATCCTTTTCACCAAGATAGTGGTGACCCTCAAGCAATGGAAACATACCTTTTAAGACTGCTTGGCCTGCCTTAAGACAGGGTCTGTTATTGGCTAACTACCATTAAGTATGTTAGGAATCTTACCTCTTAACTCCCTGGTTTGAAAAGTAGAATCTTAGTCGGCTAAGATGGAGCCCCTCCTGTTCTTACGACACTATTATATTTTGGCATTTTTCATCATAGGCAGGAAAATTAATCATGGTGCGTGTCCCATGTCCCTGCTCTATACCTCACCTACATTTGGTTTAAGCTGCTGTTTTGGGGCAGCCAGTGTGCCAAGACGTGGGGTTATACAGTTGTTGAAGTCATGGTCTCCTCTTAAGCCAGTCGAATGACATAGTCATCATTTGTTGGAAGGATTGATATTTTGATATAAACAACTTTACTGGCGTGGGTAAAACTGTAACATTTCCAGAATATCTCACCTGGCTTTAGTACATTTGCATATCCTCAGGGGTGGAGAGAAGTTCATCTCCATGTCAGTGGGTAATTACCTGGGGAACCAAGGGCTTGCCTGAACCTGAGAGTTTAAAGGCAAGGGCTGGCGTCCTTGCTGGCTTCTTCCGGAGCAGAGGAGAGACGGCCCAGGACTGCAGTTTGTAAGCAGTAAACGGGTTTTAAACTTTATTTCTCCCTTTGACTGATTTTGGTTTTTAGAGGTATTTTGCCCCGAGATTTCCTCTCCCCAGACTTACAACTGGAATAGTTAGAGATGAAGGATGCAGTAAAGGGAAGTTATATTATGTATCTAATTTTACTTTAAAAAAACTGTTGCACATAAACAATGGCTTATTTTGGGTGTTTGTGACAAGATAACTGATTTCAGCAAATGAGCACTACCTGTGTGGAATTGGCTCATTACTATTGGCAGATTTACTTCCGTTTGCCTTAGCAGAGGAAAATGATAAGGGCGAGATGTATGAAGGATGGTTTATTTTAATTGTAAAATGTATTCTGATCAATGGTAGTTCTTAGACTATTTATGGTTGGGTCCGATTACACTTCCCAAACATATCATCACTTAAAAAAATCATTCCTTCAATATTTTTCAATGTATCTTTTTCAACATTTTTGTCTAAATCTACCAGCGTATCACACAAAGTGCATTTTAAAACCTCAGCAGGGGCCATGTGCTTGCCCAGGCGGCTCACGTCAGTGTGAGTGTGTGGACACACCGCGGCCCAGCACACTGCAGTAGGCATATGCATTGTTGGGGCAGGGGTCGGGTGAGGACCTCACCAGGGAGAGGGCACAGGGTGCAGAAACCAGGGGCTGCCTTAAGACCATTTGTCAACACAGGCTGAATGACAGCATGAAGAATTTTCGTACATCAAGAACAAAACAAAGCTGTTCTCTGTGATAAATATTTAACACCAATGAAAATTTAGAAACTTTGTGGTCCAGGCATTGCCTTATTTCAGTAGGCTTTTCACATTAAAGAAGAAAGCAAAGTTCAAATGAATTATTTTCAGTTGACTTTGCTTTTGGCCATTCCTTGATCACTATCTTTGTGGATAACATTGTTAATGGAAGAAAACCAGAAAATGAGGTAATGTGAGGGAATTTGCAGTTTTGGTTTCACTCCTTTGTTCCTTTTCATTTGTTCCTGTTAAATAATCTAAAAAATACATAATTTATATTTTTACTTATAGATAAGTAAAGAATAATTTACTTTGAGGACCTCTTTAATGGTCATTCATCTGTTATTTAGATTTTCAATCAGTGATATTCCTGAGCGTTGCAAGTCACCCTTATTAGCTTTACTCTAAAGTTGCTGTTAGAGATGATCATTTTATAGAGAGGATGGAAGAAACAAGAAAATTCCAGTTATCATAATGTTGAGGTAAGAGTTGTGCAAGTGGAAAGACAGCTTCCAGCTGGGTGGTGGGGCCTGTTGTTCCTGCTGTCGGGTGTTGATTTGTTCTCTTGGCTGGCTGGCTGCCTTGCCCGTGGGGGTCCTTGTGGCTTCCATATGTCACAGATTCTCAGTAAAATGCCTTACAGTCTTTCCTGCACTGTGATTATTTCCTTTTAAAGTTAAATCAGATTTTTTCTTATTGAAGTAGAGCTGACATCCAAAATCATATTAGTTTTAGGTGTACAATACATATTTCACACATATATATTAAAAAAAAAAAAAGAAATGCTTCCTGAGTTTGTGTGTTATCCTTGTGCAGGGAGGGGCCAGTCTAATCTCTGTATCATTTAAATTTAAATTTTAGGATACATGCTGCTGAAGTGACCACCACCTTCCTGACTAAACGGTAACTCAAGCATTTCTTTGAGATTCATCCCCTTGAGGGCCTGCAGATGCCCGTGAAAAAGCTGAGCAGATTTATTTTGACAGTACTGCTTGGAAGGCCTGCCCCATATCTTTCCAGGAAAAATTAACAGCGGTCTGCTTTTTTTCTTCTTTTTTGTCTATTTCATAAAAGCCAAAACGTTATAAACAACTTAATAGTGGGATTATAGCATTATTTTCAAAGTCCTCACTTGGTCATGGAATTATGGAACTAAAAGAAAGAGGTCTTCGATGACCATCATCTGTATCCTCACGTCGTAAAGCCCCGGGAGCAAAACCATCCCAGGAAAATAAGTCAATATCATACTTTAATCTTTAACCGGCTTCACTAACTCATAGTAATTTAATCTTTGGGAAGTTGAAGGAAGTTCTTCCTGAGCCTGAAAGCGTGGAATGATAGAGCCACAGAGTCCTTGCAGTCTAGCTTATTCTTGGCAGAGATGAGGCAATGAGCTCAGAGACACTGCCTGGCCCACCCAACATCGGACACTAGTTAACAGCAGAGTTGAAAGTAGGCCTGATGCCTTGTGTTGCTCGTCCAGCGCCTCCTCCACTACAGGGAGCCAATTTGTTTAAGCTATTGTGTCCCTGACTCATTAACAGTTTTCATGTAAATAGCCAGCTGATGAGCGGCCTCACCTCTGAGGTGGTCATTCAGCACACGGTAAGGGCCTGGCCCTGCCCTCAGGGAGCAAGCAGTCCAGGAAAGGGTTTGCAGGCATTTCTACAGCTTTAAAGTTCATTCTAGCTTAGTGATTCAACTTGTTTATTCAAATAATTTTGTTATTTGCACATCTCCACAAAAACAAATGCCTCATGATCAAACTGTCACGAAAGGTGAAGCGGTGGTGTGCGGGGTGTCTGAAGGGGGATGCAGGCTGGCGTCTCATCATCAAGGGTGTGGTCAGACTAGAACTCCGGGTGGCTTGGGTAGGATGGCAGCAAACAGCCCATTTGCAGGGCAAACAGTCAGCAAGAATGGAGGACAGTTCGATGCGGGCTGGGGCAGATGATGAGTTTAAAGAGGCAGAGGGTATGTGATGGAAAGTTGCAGCGATTAGCTGTCAACCAAAGAAAGGGTGGTTTTTACGTGCACTTTTGCCCCTGATTTTCCCAGAGGCCCTGGTCATTACAGTGCCCCTGTGGAGAGGCCGTTTTTTGACACACCCTGGTTTTCTATCCAGGACCCTGCACGGTATTCACTGGGCTGCTCAGAGCGGCGCTGCTTAACTGGGTAGAGGGCAGTTTGTGTCTGGCTTATCTGCAGCAACTTTACTTCCCTGGGCTAGCATCACTTTCCACCAAATGAATTCTTAGGCCTTTCCTCACCCAGCTATAGTTTTCCTGGAGAATCCATGAAATTCGAAATCTTGATTTTAGTCACTTAAAATTTGGCTGGTACACTTGCTTGAAAAATGCACACAGATGTGAAATAAATTCAGGTGTATTTCCTTTTATTCAAATAGCTCTGTGTGGGGGTGGTGGGAGGGGGGAGAGAGGTGCACTTCTTTTTTTGGATTATCATTTTATCTGTCATTTAGTGCAGATTTGGATGATTTAACAGTACTGGTGGAAAATAGTACATTTTCTAAGAAATCAAAAAAAAGGTTCATGTCTCTGAATATTGGGTTACTTCGAAAGAGGAAAAGCTAGAGGAAAACTGCTTACAAATTAATGAACAAGGCAATTACAGTATTTATCTAACATGGATGGAACTTTGTGGCTGTAATGGCGAGACCCAATACTATTCATGTCTCGGACCTAGTCCTCCAAGACTCTCAACTAGAGATAATTAATTTGTTTGTGCTCAGAATTCATAGCCATGATACGCTTCTTTAATAACCCAGTGACAAAGGAACATCTTTGGCCATGAAAATTCACGAGTAGAGAAATTGGCATGTATATTAAAATAAAGCATGCTGCTTTCCTCCTCAAAGATCTCCTTGCACAGGAGCGTTGTCCTTACTTTGAGTTAATTCTTTTCTTAATGTGAAGTGCTTAAGATGACAGACCGGTGCATCTTCTAATTACTGACTAGCCTGTTACCTAGTGGAAAGAGGCTTGTATTTGAAAGCTTGATGTTTCTGAGGCCCGTTTATGTGATCCCGTTCAGAGGACACAGGCTTTCAGTGTTCTGGTTACAGGAGGGAAGATTTAGATCAAGCAGTTGCCTTCTTTCTGCCAGACACTGTGCTAAGTGAAGTGTAACACGGACAGGCCCTTTGAGGTGCATATGAATTGTCAGCACGAGAAGACTTCGAAGGGCAAATAAGGTACTGGTGGTACAAGCCCTGCTGCCTGGTTTTGGTGGCGATGAGAAGCGTTGGCAGTGAGAGAGAGGCCTAACTCGTGGGTGCTGCAAGGAGCACATGTTTAGAAACTGATGGTTGTGCGTTCGAATTCTGACTCTTCTCTGTTTTGGGGGGCAAGTTAAACTTCTCTGAGTCTTGGTTTGCTCTTCTCTAACAGGAGGAGTATGGCACCATCCTTACAGGGTTAAATGCAGTAAGTGCCTCACCATTCCTGGCTTATCCCTTCCTTTCTTCCCTTCTCAGTTCATAAGAAGAGCAGTTGTGAACTGGAGTGCTGAGAGGAGGCATGTCTTCTGATATTTATCTGAGTGGTCCCAAATGCAAGGCCAATGTTTGTGGCCAGGAAAAGGCCTGGCCCCTGGTTGTGCAGGTATAATACAGATGGCAGTGTGCTGCCCAGCGGCGAACCAAGGGTTCCGGCTTCCCATCTTTGGGGCCCTGTGGGAGTGTGGATGTCAGTCTGCCCATGCACTGGGGAAAAAGCCCTGGTCCCTTTGCCCGGGAAGGCTGAGAGGAGACCCGAGTATGAGTAGCTTTCTTTTGTTGGATGGGTGTGTTTGGTGAATGGTGTAAGGTTTCTGAAAATGGTTGCAAATTGTCAAGTTTTGTGAAAGTGTCAGCAATACTGAAAACAGATACGTAATGAGACCTTGAATATTCAGAAGATATAACGGGCTAGCTCTAATGAATGCAAGATGAAAGTTCTGTTAACTTATTAAATTTGAAAATAGCACTAATGAATGTGTAGGGATGGTGTGGATGGAACCTGTTCTGCATAGGTCCTTCATGTAATCATTAGAGACCTGGTAAACTATATTATATCCAGAGGAAACTCTATTTCCAATTTCAGTTGATTTATTGGTATATTAAAGGAATTAAAATACTATTTAGCTTGGCCTTTCAGGGCACCATTATAACTGAACTATGACTACTGTTGTTGTTAATCAGTTATTCTTCGCTGCGTGCTATGCTGAAAAGCCTCTACATACATCCTCTCATTGAATCTCCACAGCACTCATAGGAAGGAGGTCCTGTAATGTCCATTTACAGCTCAGGATGTGAGGTGTACGGAGATTAGATAATTTGCTTAAGACACAGCAAGTAAGCAGTGGGCTGGCACAGGTGCGTCTGTCATGAAGCACTGCACCGTTGGCCTACAGGGTTGTCTAGGAATTGTCTGACCCGCAGAATTTAAATGGTACATCTATGAAGCTTCCATTTCTGTTCTTATTCTCACTTGCTCTCTGTCTTTAGTTCTCTGTCTTGACTTTAAAACCTCCATGTGAATCATGCTCATTTAGCACAATCTATGCTGAAACCCCCCAGAATTTTTAGGGAAAAGAAATAAGGCCCTGTAGGGTGAGTACACCACATCCCTGATTGTTGCTGTGCCCATTCTGACTGCTTTAGGTTCTCAGTATTAGACCAACACATCTTGCTGGAGGCTTTACCTTCCTGGGTATCTTTGGAAGAATTAGAATCAGTTTTCCTGCCATGAAGGTTTCTCAAGGATTTAAAAAGACACATCGTAAGTGTAATGATGACATTTTGACTCATCCCCCTTTATTCTAAAATGCTTTATATAGGAGGGACATAATAAAGATTAGAGCAGAAATAAATAAAATTGAGAAGAATAAAACAATAGAAAGAATCAATGAAAGCAAGAGCTGGTTCTTTGAGAAAATGAACAAAATAGATAAACCACTAGCCAGACATCAAGAAAAAAGGAGAGTCTACTCACATAAAACAGAATCATAAATGAGAAAGGAAAAATCACTACAGACACCACAGAAATACAAAGAATTTTTAGAGAATACTATGAAAAATTATATGCTAACAAACTGGATAACCTAGAAGAAATGGACAACTTTCTAGAAAAATACAACCTTCCAAGGCTGACCCAGAAAGAAACAGAGAATCTGAACAGACCAATTATGAACAATGAAATTGAACTGCTAATCAAAAACCTACCTAAGAGCAAAAGCTCTGGACCAGGTGGCTTCACCGCGGAATTTTATCAAATATTTCATGAAGAGCTAATACCCATTCTTCTTAAAGTTTTCCAAAGAGTAGAAGAAGAGGGAATACTTCCGAACTCATTCTATGAGGCCAGCATCACTCTAATACCAAAAACCAGGTAAAGACACCACACAAAAAAAAAATTACAGACTGATATCCCTGATGAACATAGATGCAAAAATACTCAACAAAATACTAGCAAACTGAATTCAAAAATACATCAAAAAGATCATCCATCATAATCAAGTAGGATTTTTTCCAGGGATGCAAGGATGGTACAACATTCGAAAATCCATCAACATCATCCACCACATCAACAGAAAGAAGGACAAAAATCACATGATCATCTCCATAGATGCTGGAAAAGCATTCGCAAAAATTCAACATCCATTCATGATAAAAACTCTCAACAAAATGGGTATAGAGGGCAAGTACCTCAACATAATAAAGGCCATAAATGACAAACCCACAGCCAACATCATACTGAACAGTGAGAGGCTGAAAGCTTTTCCTCTAAGATCAGGAACAAGACAGGGATGCCCACTCTCCCGTCTGTTATTCAACATAGTACCAGAGGTCCTAACCACGGCAATCAGACAACGTAAGGAAAT